ATTTATCACTTTCACGGGTTTATTACGAATCAACTTAACGGCCTGCTCCCAGTTGGCTTGTTAGCTCAATTGGTAGAGCGCTGCACTAGTATCGCAGAGGTCAGTGGTTCGAATCCCGTACAGGCCTGATTTTTTTCAGGTCTGATTTTCGCTATTGCTTAAATAGCGCTATCTACTGCGAGGATCGTGCATCATACGTATCTAATACCGCAGTTCAAAATATATGAACTTCATATATTTCATTGTATCTGATTTATCACTTTCACGGGTTTATTACGAATCAACTTAACGGCCTGCTCCCAGTTGGCTTGTTAGCTCAATTGGTAGAGCGCTGCACTAGTATCGCAGAGGTCAGTGGTTCGAATCCCGTACAGGCCTGATTTTTTTCAGGTCTGATTTTCGCTATTGCTTAAATAGCGCTATCTACTGCGAGGATCGTGCATCATATGTATCTAATACCGCAGTACAAAATATATGAACTTCATATATTTCATTGTATCTCATTTATCACTTTCACGGGTTTATTACGAATCAACTTAACGGCCTGCTCCCAGTTGGCTTGTTAGCTCAATTGGTAGAGCGCTGCACTAGTATCGCAGAGGTCAGTGGTTCGAATCCCGTACAGGCCTGATTTTTTTCAGGTCTGATTTTCGCTATTGCTTAAATAGCGCTATCTACTGCGAGGATCGTGCATCATATGTATCTAATACCGCAGTACAAAATATATGAACTTCATATATTTCATTGTATCTCAAACTGCCTAAAGCGCGGGAAAACGCAGGCGAGTAAGTCATGATTGGTTGAGAGAGTGGCGCGAGTTTTCTGGACCAATCACAGAGCGAAGTAAAGCAAACCAATACAATTTCGGATTACCTTCGACGCTTAATGGTAAATTGTTCTGATATATCGTCGAAGTACAAGCATGACTTGTACTGCCTTGTTAGTACTGGAATTGGGCTGTTGATAACCAATTACGTTCGAGAATTTGTTATCGTTTTTTATTACGGCCGAGAACGTTATGTTTATGCCAATGGTAACACCATGTGTCTGTTTTCTTTCTTATCGCAGAGTCAGTGCATAGACGTACTGATTGTTATTGGGGTAAAAACTGTCGAACGCAGAGGACCAAACAACTTCATGCAAGGTAAAGCTCTGGCTAGCTATAGGCGTGCTAAGTTTTGCTCCCATTTCAGTGTTTGGTTGAAGGAAAAAGTTTTAATTTTCAGCGTACTCTGTTTTCTTTTTGTTTTCAGTCGCTTCAATCACATTTGTGAACAGACAAGATTTACATACCTGAAATGATCTCCATCAGCAAGAAGTGATCCTAACAAGTTGCCTGTCCTCATGATAGTAAACGATGCATGGTGCATTATAGACCACGCTAATCAAGAGCAAACATACCCAGCATACTTTTTTTAAACGATAGTGTCTTCGAAAGTATACTACACCTCGTTGGTTATTTCATGTTTATTTGAATAAAAGATAAACAATTTTGACAAATCTGGTGAACATTCACCCAATAATTATCAAAGATGACAATACTGTATATATATTTACAAAATCATGACAAAAAAGGAGGCTCTAAAACTTGAAATCCTTGTTCCTTCATACTTGGCTGTTTCATTTATTTGCTCACCAAAGTTTTCAAAAGACAATGAAATGTAACGAATTCAAAATAACAAACAACGCCCGGCTCTGAATTTATCAGGAATTAGAAAGATGAAAACTTGGGTCGCCTGCGTTGAAGACTATCTGTGGAATGAAAAGAGAATTTGAGTCAGTTTTTCGATTTTAAGTCAAACGAAAGTGTAGGTAGTACTGCAGCTAGCACATTGCTAAATTGTTGACGAGTTAATTCATCGCATCTAATATACTGAACAGCAGTACACTTACTTCAATAGTATGATCCGAACCATTTGTCAAAAGTTCTTCCCAACAATCCTTGTTCTGAAAAAAAAAAAAGGAAAAATTGAGACGAAATGATATTGTGTATCTAAAATCAGCTAGTTTCTGAGCGAGTTTCGAAGCGAGTTCTGACTGTTATATCTATGCCCTAACTTCTCTTAAGTGTATGCTCCACCGTTTATGGTCTTGCCCAAACCCCTCGTGAGGTCTAAAATCGCCAGTTTCTGAGCGAGTTTCGAAGCGAGTTCTGACTTTCACATATATGCCATACCCCAAGGATACAAGTTTCCCTCTAAATTTGAATGTACTAGTGTAAGGTCCTCCGTTTATTGTCTTACCCAAACTCCCTTACAAGGTCTTATGACGATGTTTGAACCCAAGAAACTTATGACAGGCAATTTACAGTTCGCAGAATTTGATTTTTAGCAACTTACCGGTTTGAGGAATGGAGTGTTGGTTGATCTGTTGGTAAGCCAATGGTATTTGAGATCCACTGGGAACAGTGCACGCCAGGATAGGATATAATGGGCGATGGTAAGAATATGGACTCCCTGGACAAATCAGAAAATATTTTTGCTCTAATCCTCGTCTTAACTGGTTTGCCACTCTCAGACTACTTTACTTCGCACAGATGTGGACTGTTACAAAGGAACAATTGTATTTTATAAGTTTCCCCCTTCATACCTTTAACTGGCTCCGTGTAGGGCTTTGAATTTGATTTAACATTCTTCACGGCTTCAAGATGCTTCGCTTTCACTGGAACGTTTTGAACTTCAAGACATCCCGCGTTTTTTGACAGAGTGTCAAACCATGATGGTTGAAGGTCGAAATAATCTTTGCCTAGATAAAAGATAAATAAAAATCAAAGTCGGTGCATGGAAGAACACGTTATCAATTCTTAGTATCTAACTGTTCTGTCATTCATCAGACTAGACTGCTTTCATAATATGAATATATCAACAAAGTTGAAATGGTAAATTGGCCACCGTTACGGTTATAAAAGCTGACGTTTTGAGCGTTAGCCCTTCGTCGGAGCGAATAGAGGAATTGTGGGTTGTGTGTGCTTTTAAAGGCAGAAAATGGAGCTACGTGAGTGGTGGGAACTGCTTTCACACAGATGTAGATTGTTCAGTAATCGTACTTTACAAGTTTCCTCCTTCATACCTTTAGCTGGCTCAGCGGAGGGCTTTGAAGGTGACGTAATATTTTTGATGGCTTCGATATCTTTGGCTTTTATTGGAAAGTTTTCAACTATGAGACATCCGCCGTTGTTTGATAGTGTGTCAAACCATGATGGTTGAACGTCAAAGTAACTTTTGCCTAGTTGAGACAAAAAAACAAAACAAAAACAAAAGAAACAAACTAAATTGATAATCACAGTGCATGGAAAAACTCTTCATGAAATCCGAAAAGTTTATGCAAAAGTTAACAGGGTAAAGTCCTTCTCGTCTTGAGGATGTCTTGAGAAGCCAAACTGGTATTTTCAAGTTGTGCCTCTTGTGAAATGGGTGACATACTTTTAAATCAGGCCCACAAATGATGATTTCGCCGGTTTTGGGTATTCTACCTTAGCTGTGAAAGAACCGATTTATATTCAGTGAAGGCGATACAGACCTCTCTTTCTCTCCATCTATGTTCTCTAACGCATATTCTGGAGAATACAACGAGTTCATAAAGACGAGGAGGTCGTATCAAGTACTTAGTCATCAATCAGTTGCGACAACGCCATCTCACTTTACAAACTCACCATTAAATGCTTGTAGTTTGCTCTGGGATTCTTCTGATTTTGTTTTGTTCTTCTTCACAGTAAAATTAAGGCCATCCTCGAGCTCGTCAATGTCCTTTCTTGCCTCCTGTAGCTTTTCATCCATGGTTGCCATTTGCTTGACAAAATCAAACTGACTTCTTTGCCCAGTTTGTTTTAGTTGGGACAATTTTTCTTTGAGATCAGCTATCTCATCATCTCTCTCAAAGAGAGTCTGCTTAAGAGAGACGATTTCCTTCTCTTGAGCTGTTTAAAACACAAATTAATATTACAAGTACTTAGAATAAGAGATAGAACAAATTCGAGGTCTGAGTGAGAACGCAAATGGGGAAAACACTGAAAATGACGAAATGAGAAGCTGTGGGGAAGGGAGAGGGGGATTGATTGACAGTTGAGTATCGGAAACTCTTAGTTAAATGGTTTCTTAGTCCTCGCGCACTTTTCTTTTCATGCATGCGTCACTACGTAAAACTAACCGTTAATCTCTGTTTCAAGGTAGGTGATCCGCTGCGTTAGTTGTTCCATTTCTCTCGCAGACTGAAAAAAAATTGCCAAAATAATTACTTTGAAATTGACGAAATTAGAAGTGAACAAGAAAGCTGGGGAATAAAACATTTTCAACTTCCAATCGAGCTGGAAGAGAGTAGAAATCAAAGAGTGGCGTCATAATCTAAAAATTTTCTTTGCGCGCGCTTTTTCATCTCTTCGCGAAGAAATTTGTTTTTATAGTTATTTGCCTGAACATCTTAGATGCAAAAGAATTTCAATTGCGTTAAAATTTTTATCCAGTCAGTGGAGGGACTCAAAACTGAGCTGTTTTTTTGGAGAGAACCGATTTGTAATTCAAATTGAACCAACTACGACTTATTTTCACGGCTTAAAGTGAGGTCTACCGTTCGCGCGTTCGCCATGAAAATCACAAGCTCTTTTTCTTCATGCTCTCTTTCTCTGATAACAGGTTGTAATTTTTAAAATGAGTGGACGTACTTATTCCACGAAAAAAAAAAGAGACCTAATGATGGGGAAACTCCTACCTCATTAGCCATGATCCGTGCCCCACGTGAGGCCTCTAGAGGCTCATGATAATTTTCAGCGGAACGATTGGTGACACTGACTTCTTCATTAAAAATTCTTGTAGAACAGAAATTCCTCACGGACTCTTTGTCTCCTGAGCTGTTTTTGTCCATTTTGTAACTGATATCTTCATTGGAAGCATTCGTCAAACACGAAAAATCCATCCTCTTTCTCTTTGCTTCAGTAAGAACCGAGCTCTTGATGCGAAACAAAGTTTCGATTTTGTTTATGTTGCATGGTAACGTGTTTGTGCCGTCACTTCATGACATCATGACATCCCGCCGGATATAAAGCGTTAAGCTTGGACACTAGAATTTTGTTGAAGCGTCAAAACATTTTAATGTTTTAAAAACATTAAAACGCTTTTGCAATGTTAAATCGATAAGGGATAAAAACACATAAAACACTAGCAGACAACGACCTATATATTACTTTTCACAATAGAGTTAACATAATTCTATTGCGAAGGTTTCCACTACGACCAAAACAAAATGATCGAGGATTTGGTACGTTGTGTAAGCGGTTTAGAATTAAAGGACCCAAAAGTAGGCTTGAGTCGATTGTGCCAGCATAATTTTGAGCATAATTTGGAAAAACGAGCATAATTTTAAACTTTTTTCAAAGAAAAGCACTGCTGGGATAATCTGCTTTTTTACTTTACTTTACTTTACTTGCAGTAAATGGTTTGAATCAGACTACACCTTCACATTTACTTTACTTGCTTCGAGAGATTACAAACGGTTGCGAATGTGTGTCACTGAGGTGCCACATTTCCGGAATGCCCATGCACTCAGTAGCTGTCGCTATTGCGGCTGGAGATCCCACAAAAAATGTTGCAGCACTGGAACAGGAAGCCAAAAGGAGTGTCGAGCCTGGAATTCAGTGGTTTTTTGCGAAAATTCAATGTAGATTTGTACAACACGTTGAGCGTATTCAAGGCTGCTAGAATAACGTGCCCGGAAGCTGTGCAATGACTGCGACTAACGCCAGCAACTGTGGGTGGCCTACGATTATTTCCGTTTTTGGACAGTAACCATGTAATAAATGGCTTAATCACGGAACTGCCTAACTATTTTGCTGCAGTCCATAACGTCACAATGGCTTGCGAAGAAGACAAATTGAAGTGGGGGCGACAGCACTCAGCCCGGATCGATTGCCACATTGGTCACTGCAGCCATGAAGGTTCTCCTGGTACTACTCTAATCTGCTGCTGCAGAAAGGATATTCTCCATAATTAACTCCTCTTTCAACGACTCGCAAGACCATGCTCTTGTAGATTATGAAGTTATGTTTCAGAACAATAAACGCTGATAAGCGTATTACTCTGCATCCTTATTTTGACTTAAGAAGCCTCCATTGATTGAAAAATGATGAGCAGTATGTTCATCAATTCTGAGCAACAAATGCAAGGGAAACGTGTAACGACAATTGTTTGATAATTGGTTTATCAAAATGATGGGCTGCAGTCACCAGGTAAGTAATCAGTTGCTGTTTGTTTTGTGTTTACTCCGGTGCTCTGCCTTTATTTTGCTTAAAAATCAAGTAGCATAATTTTGATGCGAGGAGCATAATTTAGAGAAACGAGCATAACTCGGGCAAAAATTTCAGAAATTTTGAACAATGCTAGGAGCACAACATGCCAGTTTTACGAGCACAATCGACTCAAGCTTACCTAAAAGGCAAACTACAACCCATAGCGCGACGCAAGTCGAAATGTGAGTAATATCATTAACAGTTGCGAGATATAATGTGTTGGTCTAAAGAGAACAGAGGAAGTCCGGGGCTATCTCGCCTTGAGCGTCGGATTTGCATTGTGTACTGGACCAGTCATTACCGACCTTAAGTTGTGATCGACGGCAACCGGAAGTAAAAGATGACTGATTGGGAGCTAATTTGCGTATATGCCAGCCGTCAAGCATCCGTCGACTGTACGTGGAGATAGCGGGAAATTTGTTCTCTTTTCAAGAAATATGGAGTAGATCGAATAACTGACTTGATATCCAACTTGCAAGAGAAGTACTTCTCAGTAAACCTTTCCGCTTTAAGCCCAGAACAGTGAAGTGTGGAAAAGTGTGACAAGAAATTGCAAATAGGCTAAATCAAAATAGGCTCATTCACTTTCGAGTGACAAAGCGCTCAAGGAGTCAGCATTTTAGTCTTCTTTTGGAAAAGCTCAAAGCTAAACGTAAAAACGAAGCGAAACAAAGTGGCCGTTAAAGTTCAGGACAGCAGTTATATACGAGTGAAGGTGTAGTTTGATCGTCCGGGTGAGCGTAGTCCTGAGAAGGACTGTTGTCGGTGGTAGTGACTGACGTTTCGACAACCTGTGCGGAAGTCATCATCAGAGTCAAGTGAGTGACTGACGTTTCGACAACCTGTGCGGAAGTCATCATCAGAGTCATGCTGACGTCATTGTTTACATTTTTGCTCATTTGCATACGGCTTTGCGTAAAGAAGGAAGCATGTTAGATACAAATTGACTTCAGGCAGCTAAAGAGCTAGAAAACCTTAGTACATGGTGAAATTTTTAGCTCTTTGGGTGTAATATTCAAGGAGAAATAGTCCATCAAAAACTGCAAAATTTCTGGGTGGCAAAAGCGCTAATGAGCTCATACATTCTATGTAAAATTTTGAGTTTTTAAACCCGTGTTGCACAAAAAGTATTCAATGCATCAGGCTTGTATTCATTGGCCGAGTTAATCGTACTTTGACCTTTCGATATTCAGAACTGATTTATTTTTAGCTCCATCAGAAACTGAATTGCTTATGCTAATGAGGCAAATATTGTAAACAAGGATTCCCCTTTAGGCTATAATGTCCAAGAAGCGCCCCTCTCGAAAAGGGCCCCCCCGCTTCCTCACTTTTTTAAATAGTAAGGATACAGGGAAAGCCTGTTTCTACTGCCACTTCATCCATAATTTTCTAAGCTTCAACTACAGCGGAATAGTCTCAGGAGAGTTGTTTCTATTCCGTTAAAGTCACTTCCAGCTGTTTCTATCTCCTCAACTGCGTTATCTGTTCTTTTTAATATTGGCTTCTCCCCCTTGATCAATAGCCCTCCTACCATTAAAAGCTCCTCCTTTTAGCCAAGGAAATACAGTAACTGACTTAGTTTGAGCAGGAAGCTTAGACATGGCTCTTTGCTCAAAACAAAAAGAATGTCAATATTTGTAAACAAATACAAATTCATAAGCGAAAACGAAGTACACATTTCATTCTATTTGACTTTGCCTAAAATGCTAATTAGTGCCTTTGTAACCAAGACGACATCCGACGGGTTCGCACCGTGTGATCGAAAATCGATACGAGATGAACCTCCTTGTGACGGATCAGGAATGCGACGAGAATAGCATAGCATAGTCACGCACAAAATTTTCGGCTATCGCAACCCTTTTCGTTCGTGTTTGAACTTTGTGTATTTTTTGCAGGACATGCTGACGAGAATTGTTGCGAAAAGTGTAGTGGAAGTGTTGCGAATTTTATACGAATATCTTCGCATGGACATCTTAAGACCTTGGCGATCCGTAGCAACAGATCGACTTCATCCATAATCAAAGCAAATATGTAGTGGTACGTTTTGATGTTCTCAGTAGTGTGCGTGTAAATAATGCATGACTGTAACAGGTTTTGTGGTGTTGGTGTTAGTTTTGTGCTAGTGTCGTTGGTGTTTTGTTTTTCGTTTTCCTGCAGTGATGGGGTGTTTTTCGATACTGTCTACGGTTTTGCGGTAGGGTGTCCTCTTCAATTCCCATGGGAGAGAGTGATTCTGTCTATGTTTCGGTCAACGGCCGAAAAAACCGCTTCGATCGGTGCAATGACATTTCATTCCATTGAGATTTTTAAATTAAGACCCGCAATTTTTTTTATGATTTGCTTTATTCCTAACCGTCTTAATTTCTTTACATTTCGTTAGTCTGTCCTGTCAACAAACTTAAAAAAAAGTGGTGTGCCCGTGGGCAAGCAAAGGAGTAGAGTAGAGTAGAGTTAGAGTATCGTGAAGCTGCCGGTGACAAGATTTTTTCATCACTATATGATGGCAGACTCTAAAATAAAGCCCGATAGCGCATGGTCCTGGGTTGTCTGCATGGCTGCTTCTGTGACTTTAACTATCATTAATGGAAGTTTTTCTAGTTTTGGTTTATTGATGCCTTATTTGATGACACACTTTGGCCAAAATAATGTGACAACAGGTAAGCAAAATGTTATTTCAATACTCTTTGTGTTATAAATTTTGAGCGCAGTCGCCGGATTTCGAAAGATCTTTCTTTCCTCAACACCCAACCTGTCTCTTTTTCTATTTACTCTCACTATACTTTCGACTTTACTGATCTAATAATATGCTAACGCGAGTACATGGCTACGTCAAGTCGGCTAATTCTCTACAGCCGAGTGGTTAGAGCATCGAAGGTTGAAATCGAACCCGTCTCGGATTCTCCTCTTGGTAGGTTCACATGGTTGACGAAATGGTGTAAAATTAACGGAGTCGATACAATTCATAATCACTGATTCTCGTAGATCTACAAATCTATGCACAAATAATAATATCCGCTGCCAAAATCTTAGTGAAAGTTTTAGGAAGTTTTTGTTTTCATTTATCGCTTTTGTACCCGTGTAAAAATGTCTTGTAGGATTTAAATATATACAAAACGCTGGAAGACTCCTAGTGCACAGCAAATTAATTATCACTAGCTTCATCCTATTTAATCAAGACTAAAACCGCGGACTAGATCGGGCGCTGTTTGTGTTTGATATATTTTTCATTTTCGATTGGTGTTGTGTAGCTGCACATAAACAAATTTGCTGAACTTACACGAGTCCCTGATGGCCTGACGTCAAGTAATTAGTGCATTGGCTGATTTCTGTAGCGCGATTTTAGGTGGGCCCTTACTTTGTGAGCCGGATTCGCTAAACTAACTTATAACTTAGTAAATAAAAAATTTTCAAGGATTTCTCTGTCGTTTTTAATGTAGAAACAGAGTATTATATTTTAAATGATGAAAGTGAAATGCTTTGCTCATTTGCTGACGGATAAATGTATTTGTCCGGCGAAAAAAAAATCGTAAATCACAATTTTCACGTATGGTCTGAGTAAGAGCTTAAATCTTGCTGATCGCGTTGCTCCAAAATTTCCATATAGACGCATTAACTAGATCTGCTCAAAACGTCCTGTAGGTACTATTTTCAGTTGTTCTGGAGCGGTTTAGCGAATTAGCCGCCGGTTTAGCTCCACTCTCAGGTTGGCGTGGTTTCGTGTTTTCGGTAATCCAATGTCGTTACTATTTTGAGACCTGCTACTATAATATCCAGAAAAATGGCGGACTCAAAGAGAGAGAGAGAGAGAGCGAGCGTGATAGCGTATAGTTCTGGTTTGTCTGCCTCGCTGCTCGTTTTTGAGTTATCTCCAAAATATGCTAAAATTAAGGGTGTTTTAAGAGGTTATATTGTTGCTATTGTAACCGTTACCGTTGGAAAAATGATCTCAATATCTTTAAGGAATTATTGAGCGTAGTTTTATACAATTTTGTTGGGGAAAAAACAGAACAGTATGAAAGTCATGATCTATTTAAGAATAAGTGTTAAAAAAAAACAACATATGAATATTTTTTCTCCAACAGCATGGACAGGCTCACTATATATAAGTCTTTCCTACATATTTGCGCCAGTGGTAACGCACTTCACTGGCCGGCTCGGCTTCCGACTCACTGCCTTGAGTGGAGCCCTTCTGTTGTCAACAAGCTTCTTTGCGTGCTCGTTTATCAAAGATTTTTGGCTGTTCTTCGTCTTCTTTTCGATAACTTCGGGACTGGGAAGCGCCATGTCTCACTATTCGGCAACTTTAGTCGTTCTGCGGCATTTTGTAAGGTGGCGATTTGTGGTGGTCGGTATATTAGCCTCGACTTTAAGTGTAGGCATGTTCGTCATAACGCAGATCACGGAAGCACTTCTTTCCAAATATGGACTTCAAAACGCATTGAGAGGATGGGCTTTTTTGTTCCTTTCTACGGTCCCTCTGGCCTGCACTTACATCTCGCGTTCTAATGATACAGAAGAAATTGCGAGGCAAGACGAAGAGAACCTCAAACAACCTTCACATGATACACGTCGTCCGTCCCTTCTACGGAATTTTTGCTTTATGATTTACCTTACATCTATCAGCCTTGTATTCTTTTCTGCTTTCATTCCTGGGATTTATATGGTAAGGATTTAAACCACTTATGTGTAAATCTAATTGTGTTCTATCACAATTTCTGTAATCTGATTGGCCAGGCCACCCACTGTCTATCTAACAAATAAATTCTGTTACCGACTGCATCTGTTCAGTAGCAGAACGCATATTACGTAAAGATGTGGCAAGAACAAAAAACGTTTTATGACATTTTTACGTCTTCTATGCTCTATTACTGTAATGGTGACGTCATCCATAGAGGCGTCTGTCCTCCCATAGATCATGATCACGAACCAATATAATAATAACAACAAACATATGAAACATATGTGTGAACTGCGGTTATGAGACGTATATGAGAACGATCCTTCGCAGTAAAGCACTATTTGAGCAATAGTGAAAATCAGACCTGAAAAAAATTTCAGGCCTGTACGGGATTCGAACCACTGACCTCTGCGATACTAGTGCAGCGCTCTACCAATTGAGCTAACAAGCCAACTGGGAGCAGGCCATCAAATTAATTCGATATAAACCCGTAGATGATAAATCAAACAACAACAAACATATGAAACATATGTGTGAACTGCGGTTATGAGACGTATATGAGAACGATCCTTCGCAGTAAAGCACTATTTGAGCAATAGTGAAAATCAGACCTGAAAAAAATTTCAGGCCTGTACGGGATTCGAACCACTGACCTCTGCGATACTAGTGCAGCGCTCTACCAATTGAGCTAACAAGCCAACTGGGAGCAGGCCATCAAATTAATTCGATATAAACCCGTAGATGATAAATCAAACAACAACAAACATATGAAACATATGTGTGAACTGCGGTTATGAGACGTATATGAGAACGATCCTTCGCAGTAAAGCACTATTTGAGCAATAGTGAAAATCAGCTATTCTAATTTCGTAAAAAAAATTGCTGTCATTAAAACTATTCAATTTACAAAAATTGTTTCACAAAAGCAGGTCTAAACGCATTANCCTACGGTTTATTCGTCCTTATCCGAGAAGACTAGAATGTCTATCCATTTCCTGATATTATAGAAAGGTAGCACATTCTCCTCAGTAATTTTAAGACCTTGAGTGTTGGTCCGGCCGGGGCTCGAACCCTCGACCTTCCGCTCAACAGTCCGGCGCTCTATCCATTGAGCTAACCGGGAGGCGGTTAGCTCAATGGATAGACCCGTCCGGCCCCGCTCGCGCAATCCCATAGAAAACCATAGTGAAAGCTGACGTGTGTGGGGCCGAACAGGTTAACGTGAGCCGCGCGGCCCTGGTGCACTTGTACAGCGACACTGTTTGTTGTTGTTGCAAAGTACGAGTGACAGCAGTAAACAAAAAGGAGAAAGTAAGTCACGTTTTTCGATGAATTGCCAGTTTCTTGTAGTAAAGGAAATGTTTTTCTTTTAGAATCTTTTTTTGTGGTTTTCTCGCGCGCGTCAGTTTATTGTGTCCTATTTAAGTTAAACAAACTTTTAAGATTGTTCAAAACTTAGTCAGAGGTCGCACGATAAAATGTTTAACTGACTGATTTAGGTCGGGCAGGACGGGAAAATACTTGGCTCTCGTTCATGACGTACGGACCGAGCGAAGTCCGGCCCTCCCACTCGGTCAATAAGTGCATATTATTTTACTGAAAGCTAAAATGGGATTATACTTTTGTCTTTCTCCGCGACATAGGTGAAATTTTGCGAAAGTGAACTGAATATTTCAATGGAGCGAGCGAGCCTCCTTTACACCTATATGGCAAGTGCCTCGTTCTTCAGCAACCACTTCTTTTGTAATCTTAGCAAGTTTGAATTTAAGTTTTTCGACATCTTTGAACTCTACCAGTTAACAACGACATGTTTTGGTATTTGCTTGCTTCTGTTACCCTTAGCAAGGTCGTACAGCGCTATGGTAGCGTTTTCAATGCTATTTGGTTTTATGGATGGTGGCCGTTACGGCTTAATGCCGCTTTTGGTACTGGAATGTGTTGGTCTAAAAAGAACAGAGGAAGCCTGGGGCTATATTGCCTTTAGCGTCGGATTTACATCGTGTATTGGACCAGTCATTATTGGTAAGTAGTACTTAGCTGATAAGAATAATTATTAGTCGAGTCTCCATCATTCAACCACTGCAGGATGTTATGGTCCTAGGAAAAGCCCTGCAGTCTTTAGAAAGGCCCCGTGGCCCAACGGATAAGGCATCTGACTACGAATCAGGGGATTCCAGGTTCGAATCCTGGCGGGGTCGCTGTTCTTTTGATTTAGTAAACTTTATCTTTCATCATTTCAAAAGCGTTATATCACATGTAGGGCGTAGTTATGTTTGCCAGAGGAGCATTGCTGCACTTTTAACTAGAATATTTTTGGTTTATTTAACCTTATCTAGCTTCTCTACTACAAGTCATCCTTTAGTAAAATGCAACCCGTCCCCACTGAGTTACGAAGCTTCTCACATTTGTTTGATTTCCCAGGCTTCATCGCGGACTCAGTGGGAAGGTATGGCCCAGCATTTCTGACAGCTGGAGGGATCTTCGTGCTTGGCTCAACTCTCATGTTTCTTAGAGAGTTAATAGGAGGGAAAGACTCGAGTGAGGAGAATCTTGAATCTGGTAACGAATCTTTTGAATTCCTTGTTTACGAAAGGGAGACGGTGCTCTGAATGCAGTAGTTCCAGGCAAGAAGTAGGTTGTGATTCTTAAGAGCCCGGACTCCTTGGAGTTCTGGAAAATTTTGGCGATCAAAAACTGCCGAATAAAGGTATCCGCGGGCTTTCGTTGCAATTTCACCCCATGGAAAAGATGGCATTTGCACAAGAAGTCTGAGGACAAATATTTGACTATATTTTCAATATTCACTTGCTGAAATTAAACCAGAATAACAGTAATAATTAACAATTATTCACCGAAGTGGAGGTGTATAATCGTTTTGGTATGTACCACACAGATAGTTTATTTCTTTCAATGCAAAATGGTCGGAAATCAAACTCTATTGTTCTTCTTTCGATAACTACTTTAATCAGCTTCACAGCTACTAAGTCAAACTTCTATTCGAATTTTCAAGGGCGTAGCTAGGTGGGAGGGGGGGGGGTGTCTTGCGGTGCCCGTGATACCCTTTGTAAGCCTTTTTTATGCAAAAAAATACAATATTCAGGTGGCGCAAACTTGTGAGGACCCTCTGTCTGACACAGTGTGACCCCCCTTTAAAAAATCCTGGCTACGCCCTTTGATTTTTGTTCTTATTGAACAATTTTTCAACAACTTGAATTACCAAAAATTGATAATTTTTCCATCTGTTAAACGGTTGTGATAAATCTCTTGGGAAAAATAATTTTGGTCCGTTTGTAGAATTAACAGAGATTTTAATTCAACGCATAGCTAACTTTTGTTTCTTAAAAAAAATTACTGTATTACGATGCTTTAAGTTACGTGATACACTTACATTTACTGAAATCACTTATACAGAATTATACAAATTGTTTATCTTATTGTACAGTTATTTCAACGGCTTGAATCACAAAAAATCCTCACAGTTAAAAGTAGTGATAAATCTCTTGGAAAAAATACTTTGGTCTGTCTGTAGAATTTCACCACGTTTCTAATTGAACACCAAGTTAAGAATTCCATATCTACAATGAAGTGAGCCTTGTCCAGGAATTATGTCGTACTCGTTTCTGAGGTCAGCCCAAGGGTGCACGAACAAATGTCCGGGCTACACTGTTACGTGAGATGAACTCGGAATTGGTCAAAAATGTAGCTGGGAATGTGAGCTTCCACAACCTGAACGACAGAAGGAGTTTGAGAATAAAAAAATCAGTAATACAGTAGTGAAGGAAAGACAGATGTGCATCTCATTACAAACAAGTTAAGTGTAAGTTCCAACAGACATTTATCACGAGGGAAAGAAGAAAATTACCATAATTCGGAAATTAGACCAGACATGGTGCCTACGAGGAAGTCGATTTTCCGTTTTGGAAGTGGCAGTCGTGCAGCGTGCTGCGTGTAGCGTGTATCGTATAACGTGCAGCGTGGAGCGTGCAGTATTCAGTGTGCAACCGTACAGTTATGTTCGTACTTGGGGGAGACTAATTACTTTCTTATGTAGTTATATTTTCAACATCGAATCTAGTAGCAACTGCTTACCTTCCTTGGAAGTTCACTGTACGCCAAGAAGTCTTCAAGGAAAACTAACAGGTTTACAACTTCCGCTGGGATCTCTTGGCTTCTCACACTAAATCAAACATGCAAAATACGAAATCATCTAGTACAACTGAGCGAGTCGTAGAGAAGAAGTTCACTCCACAGACTATAATTATTTCGTATCCCCGTCATACACTAGGGGATCAATGTCGGTATCTGAGCAACTGCACACTTACCACTCTCCTAACCGAACATTAACCCTATGTTGTTATCCGTTGAATGTTGTTGGGGAGCGGTAGGTGCGGTATATTGTCAGTGGTCCATTTACAGGCTGTAGTGTAACAAAATTTCTGTGTCTTCTCAATCAAAGCTTAGACCCCCTCCCTCAATCAAAATTTCCTGGATCTGTACGCACCTTTCTCCGACAATCTGACTTCATGGTCGAATGTTACTCAAGAGCTCAATCCCTTTTAACACTACTATTGTAAGTCTTTGACATCACTTAAGCAATTCACACCTCTGAGATGCCCCAAAAAAGTGTACTTACTTTGCAGCCGTAGCCTCGATAAGGGACTTCACATATTGTCCACAGCACGATAAGAATTGTTCTGTGTACTCGGAGTGGAACTGCTTCAGAACTGTGATCACTCCTACCACAAATGGTGCGCTGTCGATCTGATCGGTCGGTCGCCTGGCCACCATTGTACCTGATGCATTAGACAACAAGTGAAATGAATTAGCTAATGATAATTAGACTGCGGAATTTCCTTTTCCAAAGAGCTAACCTTAAGTTATCACAAAAGCCTATTAATTCTTTCACTCACGATCTGATTGTTAATTCTCCCTCTAACTGTTTACACGTCTTCTTCAATATTAGTTACGAGAATTTGTTACGAGAATTCTTGCTCAGTTGTACTAGATGATTTCGTATTTTGCATGTTTGATTTAGTGTGAGACTGCCAAGAGATCCCAGCGGAAGTTGTAAACCTGTTAGTTTTCCTTGAAGACTTCTTGGCGTACAGTGAACTTCCAAGGAAGGTAAGCTGTTGCTACTAGATTTGATGTTGAAAATAAAACTACATAAGGAAGTAATTAGTCCCCCCCAAGTACGAACATAACTGTGCGGTTGCACACTGAATACTGCACGCCCCACGCTGCACGTTATACGATACACGCAGTACGCTGCTCGACTGCCACTTCCAAAACGGAAAATAGAGAATTCTTGAAAATTAGTTACGAGAATTCGGTGTTAGATTAAGATGAGCAGTTCTACCTGATAGGTTGAAGTATTCTCATTACCTCTTTGCTGGATAATGTACAGATATATATATCTTATTAACCAAAGGCGAGGGCCGTACTGGGAGAATATCGGCTCGAGGTCTTGACAGTACGGACCTCGCTGCGCTCGGTTCGTACAAAAAAGACCGAGGGCCGATATTCTTCCAGTACGGTCCCGAGCAAGCTTGGTTAATAGGGAGCTTAAGCAACCACGACGACGAACGGAGGACGACGACCGGAAGTAGCAAGAACGTCCTTGCGCAAGCGCGAACCAAGAATTCCGTCGTCGTCTTGTCGTCGACGACTTGAGAAGGACCTGTTTCACGTCGTCGTGAACTTCCGAACTTCAAAGCAGTTTTTCTCATCAAAAGGTGCGGGTTTATTGTCAGTTTTTAGACAGTCTATGGCCGGTTGGAGTTTGTATTCGCTTCTTCGTTTGATTTAAACCACCCTGTTCAGTTTTCTAAACAAATAAAATTCGAAAACCCACCAACTCATATTCCTTCCTCCGCACAACAGATGTCAAGTCAAGCGGTGAAAGCGACCACGTAAGGTTTAAATTTATTTGAGTATATTTTATGAAAGAGTGCTGTTTATCATTTTTATTGAATGAAAAGTTTTAAATGGCAGTGTAATACACCTCTGCGTTCGGTCAAAAGCTGTGTATGGAACTGCCGGATTATTGCTACTTAAAAATTTTGCGTGTTGCTGTTCTTCAATCGAGACGCTTTATGAAGCGAACTCCTCGATTGATTTGGTT